GGAAAGGAATCGTTGGCTCTTAAGAATCGTGGGTATAGCTCAGATTCTGTACGGAGACGTGGAGTATCTGCGCTCAGTGATCAGTGTTCTGCATCTTCTCTTTCTCCATTTGGTTCTCAAGGAATGCTTCATTTTACTTGGGATAACGGAATTCCACGTTTTACCTTCACTTTGGATGACCAGAAAGAAGTTTACGTGGCGAATGCATGGAGAGTTGAGGTAACCAATGATAAGGCACTGGACTATGTCTACTCTTTTCATTTGAAAGCAACTGGCCCCAAAATGTATGATATATCTGACAGTGAGCCTGATTTAATAGGCAAGATGAAGGTTTCAACAGCCTTTTCTCTTTCTTCAAGTACTTCTAGAATTATGGAAACTGAGTTTGTTCTCGTTGGTGCTAATGAAAATCAGACAAGAGAGATTCATAACTTTTCCCGTAACAGTAGGCGAAGTAGGAAATTGTCGAAGGTCATGGATGTGTTTAAGGCTGGTCATTCGTTCAAGCAGAAAACCCCCTCTTTGTTTGGTGGCTCAAGTGCTATTCCTGAAGATTTTTCTCCTGAAAAGGGGTTAGAAGCTTGTTGGAACTCATATCAAGAATGCAAACCTGATCTTTCGGAAGATGACTTTTTACCAAATCTTGAAATGGCTGCAGTTGTTGTGAAAGCCCAACTACAAGAAGAGGATCATCAGAAGAAAAAAGTTGGAGGTTGGGGCCTTAACTTTCTTAAGAAAGCTGGGAGCCAGCAAAATGTTGCTTCTTCAGAAGCTTCTGCCTCTCCTGAATGTTGTCTGAGGAATGCTGATGATTGTTCTACCAATATGGATATTATAGTGCCTGCTGGTCCTCACGGTGGGCCAAGAACGAGGAATGGAGGACCAACTAATCTCATAGACAGATGGAGATCAGGTGGGAACTGTGATTGTGGTGGCTGGGACATCGGTTGCCCTCTGAAAATTCTCAAGGCAAAGCCAAAAAGAGAAGAGGGTTGGCCGTCTTCAGAGGCACAGGAGGACTGCAAATCATTTGAGATGTTCACAGAGGTGTGTGCTATGACCTTTTACCTATTAAATGATGCTTTCTTATGCATATTTCTCATTATGGCTAAATCTTTCAGTGAATCTCTTCAAAGGTTCCCACAGTACATGCCATTAAGTAGGTGATGGATGTCTTAAGAAGATTTAATTCTAGATTAGTGTTGTATGGGGTTTTAGTCATTAGCTTGTGGACAGGTAAGACGCTTAGAGGGATTAGATGGCTTTTTATGTGATCATTTGTCCTATTAGTTTCTATATCACATCATTCACATGCCATCTCCTATAAGATTTGGTAATTTCAGACTCAAGAAGGCAAAACTTGATAAAACTACCTGAGCACCATATAAACCTTGTATGGTATGAAGTCCTATGAACACAAATGAACCCGTATTGTTACAAACATGACTAGCTTATTTAATCATGTACTTTGTATATGATTATGGTTGCATTTTGTTAATTACCTGAAATCATTGGAAACTAATATTAATCCAATTTTGCAAACATTGCTGACCTTTCTACCCATGTAGGTAGCTCTTTCTTTGACCATGTTTGACATGAGCTTTTATTTTCATTTAGTAGACTACACATTATTCTATTACTTTAAAGCTATTAAAAGTTGTTTTAAATATCTCAAAATACATTGTTTTAAAATGTATTTAATTAACCTGAATCGTGAAGATTCCAGAAGAGGCTGAATTGTAAATCAATTTTCAGTTTTTACATTATTTTGTTTTTCGGTGTGTTTAGATGCATGTTGATCAAAAGTTTATCTCCGAGCTATATTCTATCTCTATGCATGATCTTTGAACTTCTTGATTTAAAATTTTGTATTTCCATGCTTTTGATCATCGTGCATTCACCTGTAAAATTGTCTTATTAACTAAAAACTAAAATGCCGTTACTTTTCTTCCAGGGCTCTGCTCAGTTAACACCCCCAATAAAAATGGTGAACATACGTGAAGGCTTGTATTTCATCAGCTTCCAGCCTTCTTTTTTGTCAGCTTTGCAATGTTTTTCAATTGCAGTGGCAGTTATTCATTCTCAGTGCCCAAGCTTGCGTCCGAAACATGTACAGGACTGAAGGTCGTGAAAGGATCAACATATTTTTTCTAGATCTACCTAGATTAGCATTGTATCTTTGTATGTGTGTTTATAGCTGCAGGTAAATCAGAATTAGGTTAATTATACATGATTTATATTTCTTTTAATTTATAGGGGTGATTTATATTTAGCAATATTGTTTGTGTGTTAAGTTGATTGGTGTGTGGGTAAGTAGGTTCTTCAACACTTCAATATAAGTAGTGTGTCTTCTCTTTTTTTTTCAATTGTACAAGTTGCGATGTTAATCTGTACTCAGAAGAATGATGTACTTGTTGTCAATGATCAAATGGAAGATTCAGATATTTTGCTTGACATTATTTAGGTTCTGTTTTAGTGTTTATATACCATATCTTAAATCAGAACTTCAAAAGTATGTGTTCATTTTTTCTCTAAATTTTGTTAATTTAGAGGTTTTGACTGCTTGGCCAGGTGTTGAGGGTGAAATAACTAGCTGGGAGTATTTGTAAAATTTTAACTAGCCCTTATTTTTTTTTTTTAAAAGATTATAAAATACGGAGTATTTGTAAAATTTTAATTAACTAGCCCTTACTTTGATTTTTGAAGATTATAAAAAATAGTGCTCAAAATGTCCGTTACAAACTTACAACTAAGTCAAAAATCCAAGGACTCTATCAAGCCAAAATTTATCGCTAACATTACGTTAGATAGGGCAAATTGGAGGGAAATGACACTGCCCTCTATTTTCCTTTTAATAAATTTAAAATCATTTCATTGTTGGAAAAAATTTGAAAAGAAAATGAAATTCACTCTTTCCCTCTTTTCGCCTCCCTTTCTCTTTCTTCTTTTCTTTTCCCTTCCTTTTCCTTCACTATTGTTATCGAACATATTGTAAAACAAATTACCAACAACTCACTAGTCACCACCCATCTAGCTAGTCAGTGATCATCATCATGACTTTACCTATTACAAAATGAAAATAAATAAACTTCAAATGAAGATGAAAAGGCTAAAACATCGTTGATTACTGTTGGATCTTTTCATCACACTAATTCCCTTGCAGAGCATGATTTAAGACTTGAGCTGTCGAGCTTCCCTTCAAGAACCACATTCCTTCATTCTCGTTCTCTTGCTAGCTTTGTCTGCATGCTTTTTGCCATACTTTCAGCAAGCTTTGTCAACTGCATTTGCTTTAAAGGTAAGGACCTAGACTAGAATAACCTAAACTCATTCATCTTGAGCTACAAATTCTACTTAAATCACTTTAGATTGTGTTAACTTGTTATTTTTGCTATATTGAACAACAGTTAAACCTAGTAACATATTTCAATTTGAGTCTATTTGGATGGTATATTAATAATACTTTGATTCCAGTGCACAAAGAAAAATAAGTTAATGAATAGCAATGGCCCATGCTTATATAATTTAAATCGTTTAGTTAAGTCTATGTGGGAAAATGAAAACATAAATCAAAGTATGGATTTTTTGCATGGATACTTTGAGTCTACGAGAGTATGAGTAGCATAGTGTACCAAAGTAATGACATTCACGTGATAAATTTATTACCTTAAATTTGGGATTCAAACCTTACCAATTGATAGTGTTATCTCCTTAGCACCCCCTAGTTTCAACTCTTTCAAGTGTTCGATCTACAAATATATGGGTAAAAAACCATAAAGATATGAAATTTGGTCAAAAAATATTGTGCTTGCCTTTATAAGAATTAGATTAACAATATAAATAGTTTGATAATATCCTCAAGCACCTCAATTTTCACGCTTAACTTCAATGTCTTGATTCAAAACAATTTAACCGCTTTTCATATCAGAAATAAGAATTATCCGCAAGTGCATCAAACTAGTCATCGATAGAGGTGTTATAAACAATTAAACATAGTTACCAAATTACAATACGGAGTAAGGGTGCGTTTTATTCACCTGATTTTTACTTATCTGAACTTATTAGCCCTTATTAGAACGTATTTTAGTTATAATATGATTAACTCTTATCAGAACTTGTCTGAACCTATTTTTCCTGAACTTATTAACTTTTATCTGAACTTATTTTTCCTGATATAAGTGGAAATAAGGTGAACAGAATAGGGCCTAAATCAAGATTCTTATCTCAACATATGAATATTTGATGTTGGATCAGAAAATTTAGATCAGACAAGGTTTTCTTAACCTCCTTTTATGTTAATATAGTTTAAAACTAGGTTAGAACCTGTGACATAAAATCTATTTTTATATTTGTACATTTTTTTAAAAAAATGGATAAAATATAAATAATAATTGTGCACCTTGTACAAAATTATTTGTAATTTTATAGTTTTAGATTTTTATCAAAATTATGATAAAAAACCCGTTCAACATCGCCTAATACATATTTCAACGTAGCAGTCCATTTATTAGTGTGTTATTTACAATTGTTTCATTTTTTATGGATAAATTGATAGGTTGTAGTTGTAATGTAGAAGTTAATATTCAAATTTCAAAATTGTTAAATATGGTAGATCCACAAAAAAAAAAAGGATGACATCATCCTTGCATTTAGGCGAAAAATATTTATTATGTAAGTGACATGTGGGCAATGATGGCGTCAACAACGTTTTGTTTTAGTAATAGTTAATAGATTTTATATACTTGCATTTTTTCGAGAGAAATACATTAAAACGAAGCTATTGATATGGAGTAAATGTTTTTTTTTTTTTTTTTTTTTTAATGTATACTTTATAATTATATGGAGCACTTCGGTTATTGAAAGTAAAAAAAGTAAAAATAAAAAACTCGACTAATTAATGATTTAATAATTCCTCCCGTTCAAAAAAAAAAAAACCTAAAAAAACCAGAGTAATATATTATTTAATTCTCTATAAAAAAAAAAAAAGGTAAAAAGGTCATTTTGGGAAATGTAGCAAGAACAACAGAAGTGAGAAACCCTAATTTAAGGGTGTGGTATATAAATATCCTCATAAACCCTAATCGTCGTTTTTCTCGCCTCTCTTCTCTGTTACTCTCTTTTCTTCTACTGCGGCAAACATGTCGAAGCGAGGTTCGTTTTCGATCTTTTTTTACTTAATGATAACATTAATTTCCTCAATTACTTATGTTTCGATTGTTATCTTGAAAATAATTAGATTAAATTAGCTAATAAAAGAGCTGAAATTTAATCAAGTTTCTAGTCTCATCAGTTTGATTTATTGTTGTTTCAAATTTATGCGATGAATTATGTAATGATTTAATTTTTAGCTCCCATTTTAATTTCGCAAATGGATTTGATTAGACATGCATTTCTCTAAATCTCCATATAGTTGATTTTTTCTTTTAATCTGTATTTTGTATTTGTTTTTGCTCAATTTTGTATGAAATTTGTCTCATTTGTGGGAATAATAACATTGATTTATGAAGAAATTGAAAGTTAGCAGCTTGGGAAAAATTTGCAGTTAATGTGAATTTGTAGATTTGTTACTCTGAATGCATGTATCATCTACTTTGGATGTTTCTTGGGAATTTGTAAAATTTTTATAGTTAAGTGTTAAGACTATGATAGGTTTTAATCTAGGGTTTTTGTTGATTCGATGTTGGTCTTTTGGGGTATGCAGGACGTGGAGGAAGTGCTGGAAACAAGTTCAGGATGTCACTGGGTCTTCCAGTGGCAGCCGTTGTGAACTGTGCTGATAACACCGGTGCGAAGAACCTGTACATCATTTCCGTCAAGGGAATTAAGGGTAGGCTCAACAGGCTACCATCAGCCTGTGTTGGTGACATGGTCATGGCTACTGTCAAGAAGGGAAAGCCTGATCTCCGTAAGAAGGTCATGCCTGCGGTTATTGTGAGGCAACGCAAGCCATGGCGCCGAAAGGACGGTGTCTTCATGTACTTTGAAGGTTTTTATTCATCTCATTATGAATTTAATTTGTGCTTGTTTCGTAATCTCTCCCATATAGTTCAAGTTAGGTGAACACTTGCATTGTAGGCATTTCTTTTATTTGGGATTTTGGAGATGATATAGTTGTGTGATTGAAAAATGAGAACCAGAGGTGCTTGATTGGGTGTTATTTCCCATGGGACATGCTAAAGCATCAATGGTTTATCTTTATAGTGCATTAGGTTTCCCTTTTTGCCAGCTGGTTTTATTTATACTGGTGCCCCTATTTAGATTTGGTATTGTGAATTCTTCACTTTATATATTTATCCGTTAAGTGGTTACTGTCATTAAATCGAGCTATAGTTAGGATATAATGGATACTGCGCTTGCACTTGTAGGACTAAAGTTAGTATTACAAGAATTTCCAATTTTTAACTTGTTTGTAATATGTCAAGGAATTGTGGTTTTGTTTTGCCTATTATCTGAGTCTACTCCTTGGTAGTTATCAGAGATTACGCTCAGTAAATTTTAGATGTTTTGTTCATGTCTCTTGATCACATTGATTTGCTTTTAATTTTTTCTTTTTTAATTTGATTTTACCTTTTGCTGACAATCAGTGTGTGTTTCTTTTACAGATAATGCTGGAGTAATTGTCAACCCCAAGGGTGAAATGAAAGGTATGTAATTGCACTAATTTTAAATATTATTTGGGATCTTTGTGACTATAATTAGCCTTTGTTAGTTTGGGAGTAAATTGACATGGTAACTTAGAATTTCATGGCATTGTAATAGATCTTTCAATTTCCATGACACTTGATTTTCATGTGGAATATGTAACATGCTTATGTAGTGGTTTAAAAAAAAACTTAGTTAGGATTGGGTAGGTGAAGTCAACTTGCCTTGTCAACACAATTTGGTTACAAAGATTTTCCTTGTCGTGTATCTGACGAACCTTTGGCACCCCCCATCCAATTTCCTGCTGTGTTGATTTATGATCCAAAACACAACACAATCTGTGAATTAATGTTGTACAAGTCACTTGTTACAGCTTTGTACCTGTATACAATCAACCTTTTTCTGTTCTTGTTAAACTGAACAAAAGTCTATTGACTAGTGTCACTGCAGAACATTTCTCTAATGTTTTGAGACTTGCATCTATGAGTTGATGTGTTTAGGTGTGAACTCTCTGTTATGTTGACAGTTTGACACACGGCTGCATTTCAGTATATGTTTACAGCATTTGTCTGAGATGTAAAGCATTAGAAACTTCTTCACCTCTGTGGGTGTGTTCTGAAGAAACAGAACATAAAAGCTTATATTTTATGCCAACGATTTTACAATATACAAAGTTTACTTAGCCGCAGTGTGGTGTCTCTGCTTATTGCTGATTACATACAATATATCTATCTCAGTCTTAATCTTATATCTCTGTATTTTCAGGATCTGCTATTACTGGTCCCATTGGAAAGGAGTGTGCCGATTTGTGGCCAAGGATTGCTAGTGCTGCCAATGCCATTGTCTAAGAGATGTCGTTCAGAAGTTTCCAATTTTGTTCTGCTATAATTCTGAATGTTTGTAGTTGGATAAATGAACAATGCCGGTTTGGTAGGATGTGTTAAATCAGTTTGTGAGTTTGCAAGATATTTATAGTAGAGATTAAATACATTTTGTTGTTTGCAATTTACTTATCTGTTAAATGTTAATCAACCATCTGTTTACAGACCCATCCGAGTCAATTTTGTGCCATCTTTTGTATTTGTTCGAAAGATCACAGCATACTTGAGTAGGTGCAATTGAATGATTGGTGTGCGAAATTTATCATGGTAACTATATTTTTGCATCTTTTGCTAGCTACTTAGTTCCAAGCCCTCAGGCCAATTATCATCAGTTCTTGGTTATGTACTTGGGCATAATTTGGAGAGCTCGTGACTCGGACTTCGTATTACTCGCTTAATTTGGAGAACTTTGGACTTTTGGAGAGCTTAAGAGTTCCGAGTAATGACTGTATAACTCGTTTTAGTTTGGAGAATATACGAGACTGTGTTACGTCTGCTGCTTGCAAGTCGCATAATATTGGAGAATCTGCGCAAATCCAAGTTCTTTCATTTAAGAAGGTAGTGACACAAGGAATGTAGCCTATGTAGGCACACCTTATTCTTTGCACTAGGATTACACATCGCAAAGGTTACTAGGTTATAAGATTGCGCATCAATCGTCAGAATTTCGGTTCCCTTTTCATGTCTAAAAATTGGCTTTCTGATTTTTTTTTGAGCATATATCATCTGCTATTGACGCCAAAACAGTCTTGATGAAAGTTCAAGCATCGTAAACTCTGTTATAACTTATAAGTGCTAAATTAGACGAGTAGAGACCAAGATTGGAGCTAGGAAGCCTAGGATAACCAACTTGCAACGAATTTACATGGAAATAACTCGTGCATGCTCTAAGCAGTTTCATTATCCACATGCATTACATCACTGTCCTCAGATATGCAACACAGTTTCTGCTATAGCGTTGTTTTAACTACAAAAGCAAAGTAACTCCTGACGATACTTATGGACCCTTACAGTAGATGTCTATGAACCGGTTAATACATCTTTCCTTCCAAACCCATATTAATCTTTGCACAGTACTCAAACAAGCTTCCATCAAAACACCGTCTCACAGCTTCTTTAGATAAGAAACCTTCTTCATCCCTAGCAAGAACGTAAAGCATTCCCCACTCTACCTTACTCGCAATCCTGTAATATGGCAAACCAAACTCACAGGTTCACAATCTTGCTCAATATGCTCATACAAGTTTACAAGATAACCGGCTCAATTATAAAATTGGAGCATACCAGCCAAATGGGTCAAACGCTACCCTGTTCCCCTCCGTCATGCTCCAGAGTTCTCTAAATGACAGTTTATCGGGGACTGTATGAGCATACTTGCTGAAGGCGTTCTCTAGATTGAAAGGGACAAACCTACAATTTGGTTTCATTAACATAATGTGTATTTGAAACATAAATTTTTCTTTGTAAGGACTTGCAAACGTACCTTCCTTCGGTATCATAAGTTCCGGAGTCACTCCCGTGCTTAGCCCTGTGCATGTTGTGTATGTATATTGGGAAGAGAGGAGACGGAAACCACCCCTTCATATGTGAGCATAAGTGAAAGAACATTATCAGTTTTAGGCTGATCATCAGCTCATCATGTAATAGAGCTTTTTATTAGTACAATTTGAATAATTACTCCGTTACTTACATCAAGTGTGTACCAACTTAGCGCTACATTAATGACGACAGCCATGATTACGGAAGCAATTATGTTAAATCCAACCATGCGTAACCCTGCAATTAGAAAGAGGGACCATGCATAACACAGTTACATCAAAAAGTAGAATGCTTTATAAGATTTGTAAAACCAACATATTACTACACTACATTTGTTGGGTCAACCTTCAAATTTTGACCCCGAATTCTCATTAGTTATCACTAATTTGATACTAGTACAAGTAAATAATACGGTCATCATAGTATCATACAGTATTTTTTTTGTCCAATCTGCTTCAATGTATATTAGTAGTATACGAAAATATAAACTATTTCTTAGTTTTTACCCGTACAAAAATGAAAATATTTATGGTCAAGACATAATTTGAAGAATGCACAAAGTTAAATGGAATGAACAATCTTTAAGAGACGGATGGAGTATCATATCACGAAGTAAAAATGCTTGAACAGTATATTGCGATTTGGTTAGAAGTTACCAGTGAAAGTTTCCCAAGGATATATGATTCCATCATCATTTTGGTCAAAAAAGGCAGCGTGCTGTTGAAGAACACTGAGTCCCTGATGATGATGTGCTGGTGTTCCGTTAGGATGGTCTGTATCAGGTGCGGACAATGCTCTTGGTAGATCTTCAATACATAAAAAAAGAGGCTATCAGTTTGTTACATTGGATTTCAAATTTACAGCACAAAGTTTAATTATTTAATGAGCGAATATAGGGCCGTCTTGAAGATTTGGGGCACTATTTTTTGATAAAAAAATATATATTCCAAAATGCTGCCATTATAATCTCATTAGCTAAATAGCTAGTGTCTCATTATTAGAGGAAGAAAATGGAAAAAATTATGGAAATGAACTAATATGGGATGTGAATTAAAGATGGAACGAAAGGTGAGTGAAGTTGGGAGGTCAAAGTGATCTAAAAGGATGATTTAGATTTTAGGTTACAAATAATAGAACGAAAGAGTGTCAGTATACTTAAAATTCTTGAAAAAAAAAAAAAAAAAAAACGGAGCTCACAATAGTTTTGGACCCTAGAATTTTCTGAGCTCTTAGGTGTAATACACTTTGTACAATTGTACACTTACCCCAACCTACTTTACTATGCGAAAAGTGTACTTACAAACCATATGTCCATATGTAACATGCGAGTTGATATTATTGTCCCATGTCAAAGGAAAGAGGAAGGATGACTAACATGAAGAATAAGTGGTGAATGGCTAACATATAAACCTTATGAATTACTAGGCCATAGGCCATCATACTTCATTACTACCTATTACATACAGTAGGTACTAATTAATTTTTGGATGGAATCCTACTGAACTTATATGTGGTCAAACTCTGAACTTACATGTGGTCAAACTCTTATTCGATATAAGACTCTATTTGTCCTAATAAATTACACAACACACTGAAGAATAAGAGGTGAATGGCTAACATATAAACCTAGTGAATAACACAACAATACTGAAGGAAAAAGGAAGGATGAATAACACAACACATCGAAGAATAAGAGGTGAATGGCTAACATAATAGCCTAGTGAATTACTAGCTTAGGCCATAATAATACCTATTACTATGTAGTATAGTACGAAGTATATAGTAATTAATTTTAGGATGAAATCCTATTGAACTTATACGTGGTCAAACTCTTATCTGACAAAAGACTTTGCATGTCCCAGAGCATGAAATACAAGTAGTACTATAAAAAGAGAAAGCTAAGGAAAATGAGATAGAAGCATACAAGGCTTAGGAAGGGAAACCTCCAAGTCGGAGCGGACCCTACGCTCAGCAGTCGCAGGGGCATACGGCGCCTCCGTTGCCATTGAGTTCCTCACCATCTCTGTCACCCCTATTACGCTTTTCGCCGCCAGCTCCGTCGCCATATAGACACTTTCCGACGATCTTTCGGTACTTTCAACACAACTGATGTAGGTAGAAAGTGGTGAACAAGCACAAACTGAATAAAACTTAGTTTTGAAGGAACAAAAAGGAAAGTAGAGAAAGAGAGTAAATGGTGGTAAGATATCGTGTCATCAATAGAGATACGTGTAACAGTATAGTTGACAAGTTTTGCATGCAATTTTGCAAATGCACCTCCTTCTTGACATTTGGATTATTTCTTAAATTAGTTCAATTTATAAAGTGCTTAATCTAGACCTATCTAGTTGACTATAATAGGTTGTTGGTTCGAATCCCCTTTCAATTATAATTTATTTTTATTAAGAAAGTAAAAGGCAAAATTATTGGAAAAAACCTTATTTTTAAGTCAATTTATAAACTATACCTTACTTTAATTTTTTTGTATAATAATATCTTGAATTTAATTTTGTTTTAAAAGCCACCACCTTCTCGCCGGCAAGGAAAGGTGGTGGGTCGCCAATAAGGGGGAGGTGGTCGTGTCAGAAGGGGTGGTGGGTCGCCAGGAAGGGTAGATGGTGGCAGGGGTGATGGAGTATTAAGGGCATGATTGTCCATTCACATCAAATGTTGGCGGCGGTGATAAATATTGTTGGCGGTGTTTAGTGATTCACAAACTAAAACGAACCAACTACGGAGTATATCAAACCTTAACTCGTACCCAAGCCCGAACCCAAACCCGAAATACACATCCGATTTGACATCTCTTATTCTCCCCAAATCTAAATGGACCAAATCTTTTATAGAAGCCCAAACCTCAATCAACCAAGACAATACAATAAGCAAACCCACCTCCTACCTCATACCCAAGCAAAGACCCAACATTTATAAAGAGTTAAACCCGACAACCTCAATCTCCCCTTTTCGAGAGGTTTACACAATTACACAAATTTACCTATTCATACAAGAATTCAACCAACCTCTCTATTTCGTCGCAAAAAAATGTCGACCGAAGTTGCAGCGGAAATCATGGATGCGCCGCCGGCAAACGAAGCGTCGGAAACCACTAAACAACCCCACAAATTAGAGAGAAAGTGGGCGTTTTGGTTTGACACTACTAAACCTAAACAAGGTGCTGCTTGGGGTTCTACTCTTAAGAAAGCCTATACTTTTGATACTGTCGAAGAGTTTTGGTGGTAATTTATGATTTCCCCTTTTAATTTTTAGCCCAGATTTTTAATTTTTAATTTTGATAATTTTGGGTTTCTGGGTGGGTTTTAGATTTTGTCAACTTTGATTGATTTGTTGTTTTATGAACCGGGTTTTGCTTGTTTTGAATTGGGTTTGTTAATTTGTTTATGTTGTTTTGCAATTAGAGGTTTGCTGGTTGATTTGGTTTAGTTTTTGTGATTTTTGGCTGGATTTTAGCTCATGTTTGTGCCCTAATTTTAATAAGTTTATTGTTTTTCTGGCATTAATCTAAATTATTGTTGGCTTGATTATGTGTTTTTCTGGGGAACATGAATAGGGAGATTGGAAATATTATGCTAGATCATGTAATTTATTTGGGATTTCTTTTTTTTGTGTGTTAAT